TTTTGGAAGGTTTTAGAACTGATTTTCGTAACACAAATTGCAGAAAAACATTTTTTTTAAGGGTGTAACCGGTACATATTTTGGAGTAACCGATTACAATGTCAATAAAAAACGTGATCTGGACATTTTTTTTGGGAAGGGGGTGTAAATGTGTAATCGGTTACACTGGGAAAATCTTACTCACTATTTTTGGTCATGTTGCCAGTTACCTGTTTTTGGTGTAACCTGTTACACCTGCTGTGTCGAACTTAAATAATTCATAACTTGAGTTTCGGATATTGATGTTGAGTAAATTAAAAGAAAGTATTAAGTATCGTATCCACAAAGATCGGCGCGATATTACCAACGTTATGACAATTGTTATTGTTTTAAGTGAAGTTTATAAATTGGTTTGGTTTTAAAGTAACAAAATATAAAATCGAAACTTGTGAAAGTAAAGTTTAAATGATAGAGAACTTGTTAGGATTGAAATTCCACTACCGTGCACGTATGATTTTGGTTGATACTTCTTTAAAGAAACTTGCTTTTCACATTATCTTCATTAATTAGCTCACAATAACATATATGTCTACATGATTGTTGAGATTTCAATTGGTTTAGTTTAACCGATGATTTCTCAATCAATTAAACTTAAAAATCTCATTAAGAACTGAATGTTGTTTATGAAAATTAAACTCTTAGTTCTATGGCTAGAACAAAGCGTTTAACCGATTATAACCTTTAACTTAAATATGAATGTATTTTTCAATCACAATTCGTATTCATAGGGTTAGAATGACAAAACAAAGATTTAATCGATAATCATGAATAAAGGAATTTTATTAAAGAAGGAATCAACGATAATACATACGATTATGGTAGTTTCCTTCCAATCCTAACAAGGAAAGAGCTTCAGTTATTCATTGTCATGGTAGCTTGCACAAAAAAAGAAGAATTGAAGATGAATTTGCATCAAGGATGATCTCTTGATTCTTGATGCGAACCCAACTCGACTCTCTCCGCTCTCCTCTCCTTACTTAAGACTAACTCTCTATTACAAAGTAATAACGTAAAGTGATAATCTCTAATGTTTCTGCTGCACTTCTTTTATACTGGTTGAGATGAGGGACTTTCACTATGAAAAGTTTTGGTCGCTATGCGAAGTCAGCTTGCTTAACCTTGAAGAAGTTTAAACCGCCCTTAGAAACCGTCATACTTTGTTATGTGAACTATTCTCGCTTCTGCTTGCTTCAAGCGAAACTGGATGATTTTGATTCTGTTTCTTTCTGTTGTTGCTCGCTTCAACTTCGCTATGTGAAGTTTTCTCACTTCTGCTCGCTTCAAGCGAAACTGGGTGATTTTGATTCTGTTTCTTTCTGTTGTTGCTCGCTTCAGCTTCGATATGCGAAGTAAAGCTCGCTATGCAAAAGTTGCAAGACATGAATTCTTCTTGCTTTTAACTGATGTTTTCTTTTGTTAATTCCTGCAAAACCATGAACGTTCAAGAGTAACATCCTTTTGGATCATTTTTAGTCAAGTTTCATTCTTAAAAGTTAATGGAAGAAAGCATTTTGTTCAAGTTTTTACCAAAGATTTGTCAACTATTGGACTTCCATCAGATGTTCGATTGAGGTGTCATTTGAAGCATTAGAAAGCTGACGTAATGTACTTTAACTTACAAATAGTTTCAGTACCTGTAAATGATTTAAATAGTGTGTAATGGTGTTGGATGGTATGCAATTTGTATGTTACAGTGTGGTATTGTGTATGAATGGTATGTTGTTACCTGCTATGTTACTATAATGTTATTGTTGAATGCTTGTAGTATATGTTTGGTGTGTGGTGGTCAGTATTGGTGTGGTACGTTGGTTAAGATAAATATCATTGTACATGTTGTTGTTGTCGTTGCATGTCACTATGAATCATGCATCATGGTGTTTGGACGGTGGTCCGCTTTTGGTGAGCCTTAATCCTATGGTGGGGATTGGGTGTGAGTAGTTAGTTCCATGTGGAAATCGGTGAAGTGTTACCTATGGCGATGGTAACAATTTTTGGTATGCTCTGATCCTATGGTGGGGATCGGGAGCTAGTGAGCTTGAGAGTTCACAATTGGTACCGCATGCATTGAGTCATGGAGTTGAGTCTCATTGCATTGCATACATGTTATATTATGATATTCGGATTGTGTGGAGTGTGAGTTGCAAAATGGGTGATTTTGTATGTGATAATTATGTCCTTACATGTTATTATGCAGTTTCCTTATATGATTGTGATTTCTCACCCCTTATGTTTGAATGTTGTCTTTGCATAGGCATCGTGCAGATAATCCGCAGTAGATGTGTGGAAGTGAGTGGAAGAGATTACTATCCTTTATGTTTTTGTCGAGTCGGCGTTCGCTTTGATATGTAACACTAGGCGAATGAACACTCGTTTTTTTTGTTTTACGTTGGTGGAGACTATTATGTGTATCTCTTATGTTTGATATTTCCTTATAACTGCATTATGTTACGATTATGTTTTGAATAATTAAACTAATAAGTTGTTTAATGTTTTTCCGCTGCTAATAAAATATTGACGTTCATACTTGTTTTATAATTCTTATTAATTTTAAATTTCATATGTGTTACATATCTTATTGCATGAGTTGGTTGTGGTTGGATGTAACACCCTAATTATTTGGTTGCTTTAAATTACTCTGATTTTTATTTATAAATTACGCGGGAAAAATTAGGGTGTTACAGTCTGCATTATTCCCTTCAAGTTTGTAAGTGGATTTTCAAGTACTTGAATGGTATTATGAGTTATAGTATTGTGTTTAGCAGTGAACAATGTGATACTTCAGTTGTAGAATATGTTGATTCAGACTATATTGATATGGATGATATGAGGTCTACAACAAGGTATGTCTTTATCCTAATAGAAGACCCTATTTGCTGGAAAACATTATAGAGGTCATGTCGACAAATGAAGTAGATTCCATGATGAAAGGTGAATCTTACTAAAGAAGCTTTATGGCTTACAAGGCTGGTGAGAGAATTTGGTGTTTAGCAAAAGGGAATCTGGCTATATTATGCTATTTTTAATTTCATTTATTTGGCAAACAATCAGGTGTATCATACCAGGATCAAATACATTGATGTGGGATTTCAAAAGATTAGAGAGTTACTTACATCTAGACAAATATTACTTGAAAATGTTCATACTTCAAAGAATGCATCTTATATGTTGACCAAGTTAGTCTTCAGTAACAAATTCAGACATTGCTTGGATTTGTTACATGTTTCTCAATGTTAAATAGAAGGTGTGCCTCCCTAGTTGCTATGATGAATCGTCATGCAATAAGTCTTTATAGAGGTTTGACATTATCTAGATGAAGATTGTTGAATATGACTCATACTGAGGAGATTGTTATGAATATTATTGAGTACAACTTATATTATGGAGATTATGAAGATTAGTATAGGTAGAGATAATTGTATTTTGTGAATAACTATAGATTATGGTTTAGATAAATAGAATCCTAATATTATATATATATATTACTTGTAACACTAGAATTCTAATTCATAAATTCATAAGATAGAAATAAAGGAAACTATAATTGCTCTATAGTCATAAAAATAGATGTCATTGGTCAAATTACATTAACACAGATAGACTGTATGCATTATCATTTCCTTTCATTTATCTTTAATCTTCTATACTAGTTATTGTTCTAATATATACATTAGATACAAATATAATGTTGTTTATGGAACTTCTTACATTGCAGGCCAGTTTTATTAATTATTATTGGGGAAAATTAGGTTGAAAACTTCAAATAGGTATAATTACTCATAATCTGTGGACATAAGACTAGTTCAAAAAAGGACATACGTGAATTATTACATATTCTCATCTTATTGCCGTCCAAGCTGGAAAAGAACAGAAGCTTTTGTAACTTATCTTGTGCAAGAAGCTTAGGGAATCTTAGTCTCAAACAAAATAAACGAAAAAATGGACCCTAAATTGGCACATGATGGAAGAGTGGCCTAATTGTCAGATTTTAAAACCAAAAAACTGCATTAACATTAGTAGAATAATTACATTAAAGTCAACATAATTAGATCAATCACCATAAGATAACCTTACAAAATACAAATTATAATACCCCACAAGAGACATGATGCAGCATTTACATAGTGGGGACAACATGCCCTTATTAGCAACAAACAGCTAAGCTCTCTATGCTCTCTATGCCAAACCAGATCTAAGTTTTAATCCTTCTATTCCGTTTGGATATACATGAATTATTCAGTAAACTAATGCATGTGGCATTAATTAAACAAAGAGGCTAATTAATGAATTCATTTTAACTACAAAAAATTAAACTAAGATATTACTTTAACAGCTAGTAAGGTACATAACAATCTCACTGCAAATTCATAACAAACTACCCTAAATTAGAATCTTGAAAACACAACACATGGAATTGACAAGCCAGCAGAGGAAAGATTCTCAAATAGAAAATATAGCAGTGAATGAATAGTCTCAATTTATATAAAAAAGATGAAAACGACCGACAAGCGTTCCCCACATTTGATCCAGTTTTATGATTAAACCTAATAAAACATGATGTAGGACCCAAAAAGGAGACAAAACTGTACTGTGGTTTGAAAGTGACTCCATGAATGTAGGGACACTCATAACAATTATTTGACCTTAACATCCCTAAGATTGTCCAATTTTGCATGTCATGCCCTTCCTTACACAATGCTAGTACATACAGACTCACCTCATATAGTTCCCATTGGATTGTTCTCAATGATGATAAAGAATCAAAATCAAAATCAGCTCTTAAGAAACCTAAGGAGCCTAAACTAGAAATATATTTTATTAACTATCTATAACATTTTGACATGAAATGTCTAATTTAGAAATGCTAGAAAACTACTACATACAATACAAGGTTTAAAGCTCAATAAAATTATGATAGAAAGACTAACATACATTATGGTTCATTCTCTTCAATCTAAAATTCTTCAGAATGGTAAACTCTTTGAAGTTGAACTTGAAGTGAGTGACTTAAAATGATCTGATGGAACGATATCTTGAGGCAAGTTAGCCCTTTTGACGATTTTTCTCATGTTGTTTTGCAAACTCAATTGGACTAATTGCTTCACTGCTTTCTTTTCTTCGCTCATCATATCTTCATCTTCTTCCGAACACTCTTTTCCTCCTCCTCCGTCTGGTTTTGCACATGATGATGAAGTTCCGCAAATTGGGGCAGAGACTGCTGTGCCTAAATTTCCTCCACCATAGTTACCTGAAACTTGTTTCCCTTTATCTATTCTCAAACTTTCCAATAGCCTTGACGCCCGATTCTGAGACAGAGTAGTACCAATAAGCGACAACTCAAGAAGTGACGACACGACCCCTGCCTCAATCATGGCCTGCTTGTCACCATAAGATTTATGAGACATAACCATCAAAACATACGAAACTTTTTCCTGACATTCAGGTGAATCAGTCCAATTCAATACATCAACCAATATAGGAAACACATCAGGGACAGCACTGATCGCTTTTCTACCCGCTCTACTTGACACCAAGTTGCTAAGAATAGAGAGGTTTCTTTCCGTTACTTCCATGTCGCCAATCGAGTTTATCAGAAACGGAACCAAATCAGTTTCCAAAATGAACGGAATATTTGCTGGAAAGATTGAAAGGTTGTAAAGCGCTCTAAGAACATCCTGCTTAGCTTGATTGCTACTATTTTTCTTATCTAAACTCCGAAGGGTTCTAACTAAAAACGGTATTGCAGAAGACGACCCGATTATCGGTTTATTCGAATCCAAAGCACTCAATCCAAGGAAATTCGCAACAATCGCTTCAGAAACAGTAGAATCAGTACCATCTAAAGATTCAACAAGCTTAAGCATCTTATGAACAGAACCAACTTTAACAATGGCTGCCTTATTTCTGTAAAAAATAAACAAAAATCACAATTATTCTCAGAAAGTCACAATCATGCATATGCAAGAAACGATAAAATAAAACATCATCATCATGTGCAGAAATAGAAATTAACCATTTCTAAAGAAAGAATGTTAAACAAAACAACTTTAATAATAAAAACAAACGCTATAGAACTAACAAAATTAAAATCACATGCTTGCCATTTAACACTTTAATAACAAGCGAATAATCATAATCAATTAATTAATCAGTGAAAATGACATAATCAATATTGTTAATCATTAATTAATCATAAAGAATAAAACCTAATCACGAAAAGTAACACAAAAATTCAACCAAAAAATTAATGGAAAAAATGCAGAATGATTAGAACTCACGCATCGTTTCCGATTCCGAGATTGAGCAACGCGTAGAGTGAAGCGATCTGAGAATCGAGGTCTTGCGAATCGAGCATTGTGACGAGAGGTGGAATCGCTCCGAGCATAGCGAGTGTTCCTCGAACTTCCAAATTCTCTTTCGCGAGCATTCTCACGGCGGTTGCAGCTTCTCGCCGCTTCACTGAATCCTCTTCGTGATGCAAATCCTTCACGAGCTGTTTCAGTTCTTCTAGAGCTTCTTCCTTCTTTTTCGCCTCTGCTTCTGACTCTAACTCCGCCATGTTCAGAAGATCGGATAGCTTCTCCGACTTTGCATTCGGTTTGGAGGTTTGATTCTGTTGTTTTTGTTGATGTTTCTCGTTGGATGAAAAGGAGTCTGATCTTGTTGTGGAAGAGAAGTCTTCGGTGTCATATTCTTCGAGGCTGCGGCGGCGGTGATGGAAACGGGAGCTAGCGCCGCAGCTGACGGCGTCGAAGATGAGACGGCGGAGTGATGCGACTGAGAGCGAGTTCCATTGACGGAAGTTGTCGGAGAATGTTGATGTTTTGCTGGAGTCGTGGTGGTGGTGGTGGTGGCCGAGAACGAGATTTCCGACGTTGTTCCGGTGATAGTTTGCCATTCTCAGACGGCCTACATTGCAGAGAGAGAGAGAGAGAGAGAGAGAGAGAGAGTTGTGCTGTGCTTAAAGTGGAGAGTGAAAAAGGACCGTTGAGTCCACGTTTTTGCTTTGTTTTGAGTATTTATATTGGTGAGTTGTATTGTGTGTGGACGCACTGTATGAGTGTGCACTGTGCATGTATTGTTTAACAACGAGTTTGTTTCAATGAGTTGCATTAGATAGTGTCCATTTAATAGACACAAAACAAGTGATTAGTATTATTTTTTGCGTCCAAAAATGAATTATTATTATTATTATTATTATTTAATCATTTGATGTAATTAAGAAAAATGTATTGCTCAAATCTCTTAGTCTGCTCTTTTTAAACCGTTGACTTGGGGCATAGGCAACAAATTTTTAGCCTCTGAATTAGGGATAAAGATTTGAGGGACAATTGTTATAACTCGTTTGTAAGATTTAGAGTGAATTAAGATAAGGGCTTCAGGGACAATTGTTATATGTCGTTTGTAATATTTAGAGTAAAGATTTAAGAGTGTTGTTAACTGATACAATCTATGGAATAAATGATTTCTCAATCCTCTAAGAACAGATAATGTCACCCTCTAAACGTGTCGATCTCTATCTGATTAGATCCAACAACTATGTTTACAATGTGTCTCACCTCGCGAGAATAGTTTTAACCGCTCCCAATATATAAAGGAAAAATGTGATATTTTATGTATTCGAATATATTTTCCGTTTATTGCTCATTAACTTGGCGTTAAAGTATTAACCTTTCAAGTGAATTCTTTCTCCACTACACTATAAGCACGAACCCACCATAACAAGGCATTACCTTATCATTTCACTGATAATTTCTAACTCCATAAATTTGGTTTCTTTTGTGGTGTGCATTCTAGTTTTGATTACTTACCATTATATTACATGCTTATACATCATTTCTTTAATCTATGCGTCTGTATATCTACGAGGAGGCAATTGTTTGATATTGGTCAAATTAATTTTATATTGCTTATGAGTTGAAACTAAGAGGATTCATATCCAAAGGAAACACTACCTGGTTGTTGTAGTGGCGTGAACTTGAGGTCTATTAGAACATTGATACCGTCTATGAAAATTTAAAATTTGCATTGTGCCTCTTAGTCTGGAATGAAGAGCAATTATTTTAAGTTGTTCAAAATATTCTCACATTAATTGAAAATTGAGATTAAGAAGAGTTTATATTCAACATGCATACAACTCAATCTAACCTAACATCTTTTTTAAAAGGCAAAGTTGTGAGAGTTCTTAAATAAAAAATAGATCTCATAGTCGCAGTAGCGCATAGTTGAAGTCGACCGAAATATTTTTCATAAGTTTGATTTTAATTAAATATATTTTTGATTTTTCAAAATATATCAACATTTATTTTTAGCCTTTTTAAAAAAATTCTTCAAAGTTCGATACAACTAATTTTTTGGTTATTAATTTTAGTCTCAAGATTAGTGTTGAATATTTATTTCTAATGAGTTTTTGTGATATGTCATTTATAAGAACTTAAAATATAATTATTTAATAATTTAATAATATAAATTTAAATTTGCATTTATTTTTTTCAATTTTGAAAATTTTTACTATAAAATATATTTTAAAACTTTAATTATATTAGGTGGCTTTTCATATAATGTGAGACGCAAGCTAGGTTAGATTTGTAAAGCTTAAGACGGTTATACATTAAACTTTTTAAATCAGAATTTGTTTATGATTTATCATATGTTTTTTTTTTTTTATATATGCACCTTGATTATTTATTGTGTTCATCTTAGGGTCTGTTTGGTTCAAATGAGGGGGAGGGGAGGGGAGGGATTTTAATGGAGGGGAGGGGAGGGGAGGGGAGGTGAAGGAATTTTTTAATCAAATAAGTGTTTGGTTCAAAAGAGAGGAGGGGAGGGGAGGGGAGGGATTTTAATTAAAAATGTGTTTGGTTCAGAAGGGGAGAGGAGGGGTTTTATTAATAATTTACATTTTTACCCTTATGATTTTATATAAGTCATATGATATTAAAATGTGAAAAATTCGTGCGTATTTTTCTTGGTAATAAAATTTCGAATATTGAGTGATTAAAAAAATATTTATTTGTCACTAAAGTTAAAAAATTGAGTACAATCGATTCGACTTATAACTTTCCAACATAAATTAAACTATATGTCAATAACATCGTTTAAATTGTGATGAATCATATAACAAAACAAATATATAAAATAACTTATTACTAAATATTAATGGTTCAAAATATTTAATAAAATGAATAAACAAAAATAAATAAAATGATATGGTTTACAATTTGATATAAAAGAAAATATGATAGAGTACATAACAAAATTAAAAGAAAAAAACGAATATAACGAAACATAATTTTTTTTATAAAAAAAAAAGACAATGATTATGATTTATATTAATTATAAAAATTATAAAATAATTTGAAGGTGAAGAACAATTATAATAAATTGATGAAAACAATCGAGAAAAAACAGTAACATAAAAGATAACAAATAGTTTTGAAATTATAAAATTAAACTGAGGATATTTTAGTAAATATAATAATTTTTAAATATCAAAACTCATATTCCCTCCCCTCCCCTCCAAATCCCCCCAATTCGGAGGGAACCAAAAAGTGTGTTTTGGAGGGATTTTGCTCCCCTCCCCTCCCCTCCCCTCCCCTCCTAAAATTTGAACCAAACATATTTAATTAAAAATTTCCCCTCCCCTCCCCTCCCATCCCCTCCATCTACCCCGAACCAAACACACCCTTACATGATTAAGAAGGAATACAAATGTCCTAAACAATAATTCAACATCAAAAATATTTGTAGGACATGAATTAAAAGGCTGTGTATACAAGAGTCTAAAACTTGTCTATTTATGCTGAATGTGTAATACAAATGTGCTTGGATTATTAAATCTCATTTTTATTTAAAATATTAATTTATTTAAATAAATTTATATAAAAAAATGATAAGATAATTGATGTTAGATGATGTACGTATTCAATTAAATAAAATACTACAGTTGAAAACAAAATATGCATTGTTTCCAAAATTCTCCTCTTAGTACATATTATTAATAAACAATGACTCTGTTAATTTTCGATCATGAGATGATGTGTAAAGAAACAAACAAAGTTTAGAACTGAATCCTTGTTTTTCTCTAGCAGAATCTTTCTTTGAAATTGAAATTAAATTACTAATTAAATAATTAATAAAGAGGAAATAACAGTAGTTGAAAAAAAAGTGTTGTGTTGTGCAAGTTTTGTTGCTACTATTGCCGGCCAGCTAATAACGTTGGTGATGGAAGTTTCTTGTGGGACCCATAACCGTGCTGGATGAGGTGAAATTAATTGACTGAGTTACGATAGGTAGGTGTGTGTGTTCACAAGTAGCGTGACATACGACGGTGGTTATTGGAAACAGTGGTCTCTTCTATACACAGTAGTACTTGTACTCTTCATGTCAGAAGAATGCAATGGTATGGAAAAAAGCTGAAACCCTAACTTTCTTCACCACCTTCGTCTCTATTCCATTTCTATTCAATTCTTCAGTCAGAGTTCCTGTCAAAATATCTTAGCCTTGCTTCCATTCAACTCAAACTGCTTCCAACCTTTGATCAAAGGTGGTCGTATAGCATGACAACTTTTGAGGATGGTTTATCTTGCAAACAAAACCATGATTTGTAACACAATCTTTCACTATCTCGGTATACATAAATTATAAATTATACCGTACAAGTTTAAAGTGTTTATAAATATTTCTCTACCATTGCTTAATCTCTAAATATTAACAAAAGTGAATATCAAGATGTTATCTCTTTGTCTTACTAAGATTCTTTCTTTAGAGTTTTATATTTTTTACTATAAAAAATAAAATTTAAAATTTAAATATGATACAATTCTCAAGATGAAATGTAGTTTTTTCGTCTAAAATGTCTCGTGTTTCATCTCAAATGCCTTCCATATTTATAGGACAATCAAATTGGACGGATTTTTTATTTTATTTTTTAAGTTAGACTTTATTTAGAAAATGATGATGATGCCAATTTATTTATCAATCACATTTGTTGCTCTCTACAAGCTTGAACCACTCTTCAACAAGTTTTATCAAATCCAAGCAATGATCAAATTTTGATCTAGGCAATAACTTAGTGAACATATTCCTCATATTATCTTATGAAACCACATTTTCAACCACAATTTTCTTTGACACAATCATGTATCATATAAAAGGAAAACTCATTGATTAGAACGATGGGTAATGTTTTAGAGGTGGAATTGTCTACATTAGGAGATGATATAAGAACACGTGTTTCTCGCATGTGCTTCTTTGTTTTTGCGTTTGGATCTTTCGTATCATGTCTCGTGAGTGGCTCATACCAATTGCTCCTAAATCTTTTTTTTTTCTTCGTATGACGATGGTTTGTTGTATACGCCTTATACCGGTTGATTGGCCTAAGGAGATGAAGAAACTTGACGGGACATCATTATTATTGAGAACATGAACATGAAATGTCTTTCTTGTAATAGGTAATATTTCACAAGAAAGATGATGTGTGTTCCTATGCTAGTTATTAATGATGTTTCCTCTTTTTTAGAGTACCTGAGTACTTTGCATAACCTTTGATAAAATTTCAACCGTTTGTGGTGCGCAGTTGATTGTATGATCCTTAATGGTTAAGGCATATATAAGTGACCATTGAAACATATTTTTTCTTTTTTCTGTCATATACAACCTGTAAAAGATTTTCTTTTTGTCTTGCCAACTTCATTCTTTCTCACGAGCTTTTATATTCTAGTTTCTCGGCTAAGCTCATATATATTTAATCTTCGTTTGGTGGCATTTGATGCACACATATAACCAACCTATTTTCTTTAACCTAAAGCCAACATTTTTTCTTACTTTTGCTTCTTTTTAGGATTTTCTAGGAAGTAAATTTTCTATCTATCTGTTGTTTGAACTCTTGTTATTGGT